CATACTATTCTGCTAAGGTCAGCTAAAGCATGAGAATTTGTGTACAGGAAGATATTTTTAGATACAATCTATCATTTATCTATCATTTAGATATCATTATACAATAATATTTTCCCCATTCAGGGAAAAAAAGCCAAGCTACATAACCAACTTCATAGGGGGAAATACTTCATAGGGGAAAATGCAAAGTATTTTATAGAGAAATAATTCATAACAAGACAATGCAACACTGTAATTTCCAACCTTTCCCAGCTGATTATTTTGTATCCAGAAGGTCTCTCTTGACACTGGAAAGCTATCTAACTGAATTTAGAGGCATCTATTCCTTTTAAATTGGGATATATGTTTACTCTCAGATGTAATGCTCTAAGAACTGCTTGGATGTAACAAACTGTGTGATGCCTGTGTGTTACCTCCTACAGTGCTTGCAAAGGGACTTTGAAGCTTTCATCAAAACTATTGCTGCTTTTACCCAAGAAATATTACTTCCTATCACAAATTCCTTTCCTCTTCAAGGAAACTTTACTTGCCTAAGCATAGCAGACAGCATTTCACTCATATATGCCAATAACAGCAGGGTGTTCAGACAAGGTTCTGCACACACAGAAATATAAGTACAAAATTATCAATGCATACTTATTCACTTTTTCAAACCCTGTTCTAAGAATACAAGCAACCAAAAGAATGTTTTTGGTCAAACAAAATGTTTGTTTGTTTGTTTGTTTGTTGTGTTTGTTTTTTTTTGCTTCAGCTTCAGGTAAAAGATGCAACACAACTCAACCCCATTCTCAGAATATCTTTGGATCAAGAAGATACATAAAAGATACATACAAGTATGAAGACTGGGAGAGGTCTGAAGATTAAAATACATAAGTGAGCATTATTATTATATAGTATATAATATTGTTATAAGACAGGTTCTGAGTGCTAGTGTTGACTAGCCTTTCAACTGAAGCAGCTCCATGCAGGCAGGCATAACAGAGCAGATACACCAGCAGCATATAAGAGGCCAATGCACACACTGCAGTACTTTGCTGAACTTAGATGGCTATCTGGGATATTTGGCAGCAAAGAAAGTATCAATTAGAGCCAGGTCACTGTAGCATGAGTGAAGTTGGCTCCAGCCAGAAAGGAACTGTTCCAATCGCTCTTCTTTTTAATTGCTTCTGACGTCTCATGAAGGAAATAAAACAGCAGAGAAAAGCGTCCTTAAAAAAAAAAAAAAAAAAAAAAAAAAAAAAAAAAAAAAAAAGTTTATAAAGTTTATATTTCAAAATACCCCAAGGAGAAAGGGAGGGAAGATTTCTCACCTGTTGCTTATTACCAAGAAATGTAAAAAAGTCAATAAAATCATCTCATCAGTATTCATCTTTCCTTCTCCTTATGCTCCAAAGGTGCACAAAGGCCCAGCACGAAGGCTTGAGCACTGCATAAATGACATCTTCATTGGGATGGTGTTGTGGATAGACCTTGAAGTTGGTTAGCTGTGACAATTAATGTCCACTGAGAGGAAATGATTAATGAATGATATTACAAGATCATCAAACAAAAGCCTATCAAATGCATAACAAATGTATTATGGTGTCTGGCTGATGCTAGATTTCCATGTTAGCCCTATAATCAATGGAAAGAGACAGAACCAGCCAGGAAGCAAATCCTTCCAGCTATCTTTGGCACTTTTCATTCAAATAGACGAATCACTCACTGGAGGTGTCCAGCTCTCACTACAGTAGAGAAGAGATGCCCAGGCAACTAGATTAGTTTAGATGTCTAACTAGACATGATGAATCCCACTTACTGTGCAATACCGACAATTTCCTAAATCACAAGTAGACTACCTGTTATTTTTCTATTTGAAGCTGTTGTCCAGAATCCAAACTATTTCCTCTATGAAGTTGTGAGCAAATGAATACACAGCCTAGCAAAAGTATTTTCAAAGAGACTGTGCTGTCCCAGATGGTATCAGTGGTCTCTGAGCACTAAATTCTCTGTATCAAAATCAGATCTCCATCTGACTAAAACCAGCAGGACTGTGTGTCCAATAAAAAATCATTTTTTATGATTTAAGCTTCATTTTTAGATTATGTTTTCATGTTTCCACATGACTACCAGAAAGAACTTATCTGAACTCAATCTGATCTTTCATATTACTGCACTGAGATTCCTTAGTAAGACTGCTTCTTTGTGTGGGTAATGCTGTCCCTTTAGAAACTCCTGAAATACAAAAAGGGTCATCTTAGCTTGGTAACAGCCACTGGGAAAAGTGGTGTTTGTGCCTCTGCCCTTCCCCAAAAGGCACTGATCCATCAACAACCACAAATGTCTGTGCATTAACATCCATGACATCCTTAACCTTTAGGAGGCTGCAAATAATAGTTGTTCTCCAGATACTGAGTTTTCTGCAGAGAATGCTCGTTATTATTCAGACTTCTTCTTATTCTGTTGTTTTCTGCCTTACCCTACAGTGGGAACTCTCATCTCTCTAAAAAATCCAACTGAAGAAAAAGGAGAGCAAATGTCACATATTTGCTATATCAACTCATAAAACCACAACAGAGACAAGAAATGGGTTTAAGCCAAAAAGGCTGGAGCCACATCCCAATCTGAGCCCTCCTACAGAATGAGCAGACTGAGATCCTCTGTTCTGGTCTGGATTCAATTCTGCTGTAGATGGAAATCATTTATACTGATTAAGAAAAGACTTCCCAGAAAAACATAACAATTCTGAGTTCAAATTCACTATCTTCATGTCTCTCCAAGTCCATAATACATCTAAGAACATCCCAAGCTCACTGTGCTCTTTGCAAGTAAATCTCTGGGGTAGGAATGGGCAAACCTCTCTGTGCAACTCATAAGCTATCCATTGAGTTGACAGATCAACTCATTTACACCACTCTACACACTGCTTCCACCCTAAACTGTCTTTTTAACTCTATGCTACATCTGATTCTCCAGCTGGACTTCTGGCTGCTGGTGGTATGCTAGTGCAGATGTTACAGACTCTGAGTGCTCCTCCTGCAGCCAACCTGTCATTGACTATGGTTATTGTTTTTTTCTCCTCTTAGACTTTGAATCTTGGAAAAAGGATTTGTATTGGTCTGGTCAGCTTCCTATTTAATACACTTGCAACTCCAGGCAGTTCAGAATTACATCACCTCCCAGCAGACTGAGTCCATTCAAATGAGGGCTAGTGAAGCCATCCTTACAGAGATCCTTGATTGGTCTCACTTGTACCATTTAGTGATAACAGATCTACCTCAAGGTAGACCAACAATATTCATACCATAATGGCCATTAAATGACTTCCTTCATTAAATTTTGCTTTAAAATTTGTTTTTCCTTTTGAAGAGGTTCCATATGTGAGACACCCAAAGACTTCCTTGGATGAAAGTTAATATTCTAGAAGATTGAAAACTCAGTTAAAAGTTTTGTTGCTCTCCTGATGCTCTCTCTACTGGCATCAATGGCTTGGTTTAGGAAAAGGAAAGAGCTGGGTCAAGATACCTTGAGGAAGCCCAGAATGGATCCTGGAGACTCTGATGCCAGTAGGTAAAATTTAACGTTTGATAGACAGGCACTTTCCCATGGCATTAAGGAATTAGTAATACTGACATTTTCTTCACTACAGCAAACAGCAAAGCTACAGGACTCTAAGTATTTGGCTCAAAACAGGCAAAAAGCAATGAGAACAAGTGCAGGGAAGTTATTCCTGAGCAAATACTTACTGACATGCTACCATCAATGTTGGTTTTACCACTGTCTGTGTTGTCATTTATTTTATAAATTCTCTGTATACCTTCTACATGTCTTTAGTTCATGGGTGAGTGTATTTCATTAATGTAGACTCAGACCACTGGATGTGATTGGATCCCTCAAAACATCCAGCATCATTATGAGAAAATGAAGATAAAACTAAGATGCTCCAGCACTAATTATCTAATTATTAATTATCTAATATTAAAATTTGAATTATTTTAATCTTTTAAAAATTGGAGAATCACAATGCACTGGTTGGTCCCACAATTACTACTTCAGGGAACACAAAGAGCATCTCCTGACTTGAATAAGCTACCAGATCAGAAAGAAAAAAGAAAAGAATAGTCACATCATTCACCTTTCCCCCTTCGCATTAAGCCTCCAGATTAAATCCATATGCAAAACTATAGTATTGGTGGTGCATGGTTTACTCTCAACTGACTTGTCTGCAAGGAAAAATAAATCACTGGAAATTACAGGAACTTAAATCTACTACAATTATTTATTTGAACTTCATCTCTTCAGAATACAGCCTGATGAAAATAATGATGAAAACATTAAGGACTCCCCAGATGCTATAACCTGATTTAATGAAGCACATAGTAACAAATATAGATAAATACATCTGCACATCGTTTTTCTATACACCTGTGAAAACAATTATTACCACTGAAATGGTTACACCAGTCATACAATTTGATCTAAATTTCCTACATCTCCTCTGCTGAAGTTATGTAGTTTTCCCATTGTTAACATTGTCCATGACAGACACTGGGATATCTACAGTCATCCTGCTGCTTCAGACATAGGATGGGGAAACCATAAAACATCCAGAAGTTCTTTACACCAAATGGGCACTCAGGTAAGCAGACTTGTTCACTGATAGCTTTTCCAGAACTATGAGGCCATACAAAAGATTTGGTTGACTCAAGCACACCTAGGAATTTACTGAGCCAGTAAAGGGTTGGGATTTATCAAAATTCCTGTGGGAACTTTTTATGAGCCTCTTAATGTTCACTGTCCCCAAGGAAACCTGCAACCTCATCTCCTTTTTTATGATAGTGCAGATATTCCTGTTTTGGAAATCCAAGCTGACACAAGGGCTGAGGTTGAACTGCAAATTAGAAAGGAGTACATGGAATTATTTACATGCACTATTAATAATGATTAAAAAAAAAAGAAAAAAAAAAAAAGGGAGGGGGGGGGAGAAGAAGGGGGGGGGGGGGGAGAAGGAGGGAAAAAGATACTACCAAGCCAAAATTTTTAACATAAAAACAACCAGCTACTATGGCAATTGGAATGACTAAAAATTACCCAGAACTTTGAATTAGTGTGTATCTGTTTTCATCTTCTGTCCTTCCCTACTGCCTCTTAGCACTGTAAAGGGTGGAAGACAAATGCAGATCTGATGGGAAGGCCATCAACAAGCAGGCTATGGCTTTTGCCACACTAACTCCTGCCACAGGGGGAACCAAACCCAGTTTGCCCTAACAGCGCTCTAGCAGCCTGCTGCTAGTTTTTGCTTCTCTAAGGACTCTGAATCATCCTGTTCTTTTGTGTACTCCTCCCACACGCAAGGTCTCATATGAGGCAGCCTATCTTTTCTAGCAAGAAAAGCTGCACAGAGATTCCCTTGCGAGCATGTGTAATACTGCTGCTGAATTGGCTAAGGATATAACGCAGAGCACCAAGAGACTGAGCACAAAGCCAGCCTGGGAGCAAAGAGCAGAGCCTGGAACTGCAATTCCACCAAGCCCTATACGGTAGCATGGGACTAGGTCGGCTGTATATCAGATTACTGCAACGCTCTACAGGCAATGGAATGCTAAGTAGGCAAACAGCTATAATACATTTTCTTGTATTATATTTTTCTGTCCTTCAGGGGAAAAAAGTAGTCCAGTTTAGCTCAAAACAAGCTAGTTTCCCAAAAGCACTTATCATGCCAACTTCCGTGACTCGTTGCTTGTTCAGAACAATTCTGTATCACTTTTGGAAAACGTTTCTGAAATTATTTTCAATTTTCTAAAAGTAATTTTGAGCATATCAACCAGTTATGACAAAATAACTGTGTAGATACTATCAATTTACTTTACTTCTGAAGGGGCACAAGCTCTTCTGTCTTAGCTATATTTTTAAGCCATTCAGGAATTGATTCATTAAGCTCTGCGATGCAGACAAGATTGTATGGAAGATGAGAGCACTGCCTAACAATGCACAGTAACAGCACTTTCTACAACACAGTATTAATGAAAAATAATGCATCCTACTGTGTCTTAATATTTCATACAGGGATTTTGTTCAGAAGTTAGTCATGGTAAATTGTGGGGAAAAAAAAAAATTACTAAGGGAAAAATGTGTTAGCCCTACAAGAGGCACTATTATAAGATGGTGTCAGTTGGGATTGCATTTTGCTTCCATACCTATGGTCTTCAATATCATTAACTGAATCACTCACCTGGAATTGAAAGTCATTAACCATTTTCAGGAAGAGCAAATCTGGTGGTTTTTTTTGTTTGTTTTTTTTTTGAATGTTCCCATTAAACCATAGTGTATTTAAAGGCATGGTGGTGCTCATGCATTTTCAGCCCCAGGCATATATTAAATTTGGAATGGAATTTTTATGTTATATAGGACTAGGAAGTTTAAATTAACAGCAGAAACAGGAAAGACTGCATTGTGCTGGGAAGTAGGTACACCAATCCACTTAGTATGGATCTTTAAAGAGAGAACATTTTCCCATATCCCTTCAAATGATATTTCAAATGGATAAATATTTAATTCTGCAACATTTAAGTAAGTCAGAGAAGTTGCCTATGAAAAGCAATTTTAAAATTATTTTCTACTTTAATTTTGTGGGAAGCTGAGTAGAGTGGATTTTTGGCAGGCAGAGGAATCTTTGGGGGTTTACGGAAATTTTTTTAAATCATTATACTTGTCAAAAGCCTCCCGCTTTAGGAAAGCTTAGTTTTGTTGTGTTCATTTGGTTTGTCTCTACACAAGAGAGCACCAAACTTCAGAGCACCTGTTGAGCTTTAGGGAGGTCCCATCTGATCATTCATGTATATAATGCACTATCCTAAAGGGGAGAAAATGAATGATCTCAGCCTGTGGTGATATGTTTAAGGATTATCTTCTGCCTCACTAATGGAAGAACTCAGTGATCTAATAACTCATTTCCATCTGTCATTTCTATGACTCTTGCATTTTCAATGCGATGTAGTTCAAATGTTCCATTTTGCGGTCATACAAACAATGTAATCAACTAGTCAGTTCAGTAGCTCTTTGGGGAACAGGGATTCATGAATTTGTACTGAAGAGCTGCATTAATCCATTCTGTTTGGAAAGGCCTTTCGTATGACACAAAAAGAAAAATATCTTTGCCTTTGGGGTATAAAACAATGCCAGTTAAATTACATATATATCTCAGAATGGAGTAATATTAATTTATCTTTTGTGATTTATTTTACTCCTTATACCTGCAGAGATTTATCAGTCTTCTTCATCATTTCCAAAAAAACTTTCTTACCTAGAAACAGCAGTAACATACTGTAGACTTCCCAGAGCACTTAAAGTGACAATTGACAGGGAGCAAGGAATGGACATTTCAGGACCTGAGCTTTCGTACTGCCATCTGACTGATCAGTGACAGCTTATTTAAAAGTGAGCAGACACATAACATAGGTTGGAAAACAGAACAACTATCCTGAGCAAGTCATCTAACATGAAAGGTACCACAAAAGCTGTGAGAAACACATGATAAGCAATATTTCAGAGCAGTGTGCTAGATTATTTAAATCTGCAGCCAGTGTTCAGTGTAGGCACTAGTTTACTGATGAACTGCAAGGCACCTCTCCTAGCAACATCTGGCTACATTTCATAAATGAAAATATAAATAAATAAATAAATAAAAAGCCTGGAAGATGACAGTGGTTCACTGGAGGTGTGGTGGCCACAGCCCGTGCTGGTATCCTCCCAGCCTGCCTTTCAGTGGCGCACCGGGCAGCCACACAGGAGTGGGGAGCAATCAGCTCCAGTCCTCGACATGCCATGTGCCTCTTCTCTGTTTACAGGATGCTCTCTGGAGAAAGCTTTATTTGTTTTTGCCTGGAAGTCAACCCCTTGCTTTGACTTTGGTACCTAAATAAACAAACTGACACTGGACATGTGTCAGTGCAGACGTGCAGATGAGCCAGACTGTTTCATTTACTGAATGGTTTGGCTCAAAGGGACAAGGTACCCAGATCCCATCACACAGAAACTTTCTCTTTTCCAGCTCTTCACAAGTCAAGGCCAATATTCTGTTACTTTGCCAGCAAGCAAATTAGCAGATTTCACTGAAATAAAATATGTGTGAGCTAGTTGCTGATAATAAAAATTGTTGATCCCACAGAGGGAAAGAGCGAGTGATCAAGACATTAATCAAGCCAGTTACAAGAAAGGTCAGAAAAGTTCAGGAAGAGACAGCTCTGTCAAACCTTTTGCAAAGTTTAATGCCTAAGTTTGTTCGCAGATGCCATATACTGTAGCAGTTGCTTGGAAAAGGATAACCCTGCTGCTGAACGCTATATACTTCACAACTTTTTCTTGGCCTTGTTTTTTCATAAATGCATTGTCAGAGAATCATCATTTTGCAGCTGCCAGATGCACTAAATCTCCCAGCACACTTGCACTCCCAGCTTTAGCTTGCTCTCAAAGAAAAGGCTGTAAGAGTTTGTAAACAACTGGCCTGCAAACTGAAAACGCCCCAAAGCCCTGCCTGCTAAAGTCACTGACACAGGACTTAAATTAATTTGAGACACCAGCTTATAATCAGATATTCTGGCCTAATCAGGAAGGGGTAAAGTGTGATTTTCACTTTCTTGGGCAATGCAAAGAGTTTTTAAAATTTGACATCCAAGTCCTTTAGCTTTCCATGTGATATGAACAATAGTAGTGTGAGTGAATACCATGCTCCTCGAGATACAGAGGGAGATGGATACTAGCTAAAGGGAAGGGATTTGGTACAATGGATGGACAGGAGAAGCCTGAACTTTAGGAAAAGCTGAATCTGGATCTGGCTTTTATGGTTTAGACTCACTTCTGGAACAAACAGTCCTGCTGTGCACGCTGTAACAATTGGATGAGTGATTCACCGCAGCACACTAGCCTAAAACAAAGTCCTCTACTCTTCTAGCCAAGGTTTGGAAGTCAAGGTTCGCTCAGGAGCCTGCAGTTGGGCAGGGTCCTGGCTAAAAGCTCATTAAAGTGTTCAGCTTCCGTGGGAGGTTTCCTGTGACTCTGAGTGGCTTTGAACCCAGACAATTTCCTCTTCATTCTTCAAATAATCCTAACCCTCCCTTCAACCTGGCACACCAGCAAGGGGACATGTCAGAGAAGCATGGCAGAGCAGGCAAGCACTGCTAGGATTCAAAAAAAGCTCCAGGAGAGTTCAGTCCCCTTCCCCATCCTGCTTAGCAGCCTTCATTTCTTCCTCAGAGCTGAATTTCTCCCCCATTTTCCAGGCTTTTCTTTGGTCGTGTTATTTGGATTTAAAACATTCTGGAATTGCAATCATTCCACATTTCTGCCTTGAAGACAATTAAAAACAAAGATATGTTAATAAGATTCATACTCTAATGAACTATATGGGGAAATTATGGGGAAAACTGTGACAGTGATGCAAAACCCACTGTGTGAAAATCTGCTGGGTAAGAAGACTGAGATTTTTCTACGAATACCCTGAAACCATTCTTTAAACTAATGCTTTTATCCATCAGCCACTCACAACTGGGGAGTTTATGGGCCTATTATAAGCCTGCCAAGAGCACTGTGGTCACACTAAAATCCAAATAGCCTCTCAGAAAAAAATCCACATTGGGACAAAATGAAATAAGTTTGGTTTCTATGACATTTGGAGAGAGAAGAGTGAAAGAAAATTCAGGGTGTAACTGACAACTGCCATCTACCATGCAAGGGATGGTATTTTCAGCTCACAAGACGAAGGACAATAGGCTGATATCCGGCTCTTATTCATAACTGCAAGTGGCTATTTTGAGGGGGAGGTGGGTTGTGAATTTAAACATTAAAACATAACTTCAAATCACCTCATGAATCACAATTCTCAAAGTAAGCATTCAAGGACATTAGAGAGGGGAGATGGGAGGCCCTGACTCTACTGTAGGCCTTTTGCACAGTTCTAGGTAAAAACTATAAGGATCAAGAACCACACTCCGTGTACAGGCAATGATTTGTCCAAAGGATAAATTTATATTGCTTCCCAGAACATAAAACGGATAAACATGCCAAATACACCTTTGAATTTCTACAGCTTCTATCATAACTTAGAACTTGAAGGTCCCTCCATATTGAGGCTTCCACAAAGAAAACTGATCATGATCTAAGTTTTCTGTGATGTCCTCCAGGTCCATGGGCTCAGAACAGGCAGAACAGGAGGGAGTTTGCCTGCACTTAGCTCTGTTATTCTGACAACTGTTTCTCCCCTTATCCAGGACCACAACTGGGCAGTGCAACTTGGAGAACTATTTTCTTCTGCTCTTCAAAACTAGTTTGACTAGACTTTAAGATGACTCCCAGGATCTATCACCAAATGGACACAGTTGTTACCTCAGGCAGCCCATTGTGATCATTTGCAGGACTTGGTCTCTGCTGTTTTCCTGGCAGCAGTGCTCAATCTCTTTCCAGCTCAAATAATCTGCCAAGCAGCATTTCACCACTGCCATTTCCTATGGCAGGCTGACAGTCTTGAGTTGTTATGCCTACTGTTCATGCCAGGACCTTGTGTTTGGTGACACTTCTGTGTGACTCAGTTCAGGCTCAATGATTCCTGCAAAGTAAACAAGGCCATAGACAATAACCTGAAGAGCTCAACTAATCCAGGAACGACCCCACTGTTACAGCTGTTTCTCCATAATGAAAATTAAAGGAGAGGGGATTGGTAGAGATCAGGAGCAAAAATGAACAACTGATGAACACAATCCTGCTGGACCAATGTGATATGGTGACATGCGGTTTTGATTCTTCTGGAGGCTGTGGGTATGTGTGTGGCTGCAGAATTCTGGAAAACGGAATCTTTACAGCCCCAGAAACATCACCATAAGCTCTACATACATCCGAAACAAAACAAAAGACCATGGAACTGAATTTGACTTTTCTCTGGAAATCATCAGTCCTGATATCTTTGCACCTCACTGAGCAAAACTTTACTTCATGCATGGCATTTTGTGATCTTAAGTCTTTAAACCTAATTTTGACCTGTGTAAAATCCTGCATCAGAATTCCTTCTCTATGTAAATAGCAAATAGCTAGCTGAGGTCATATGTTTTTTGAGTCTATCCTAAGAATATAACTTCCTTTAACAGGGAAAAAAGCCAAGTTTCTTTGTTGGCCAACAACAAAAGCTGTATATACTTGTCAGACACTTAAAGCATAAATAGTCAGCTGGTTCAGTGTCACATGGGCCCCTTCTCTAAATTCCAGTCTAGAAAAGAGATTAAGACATCTCATCTTTTGCGATACAGAAGACAAGAGCAACACTTGCTGGTGTTAACACGTGAAGAAATTTCTGAGTGCACAGCTGTAAAGATCAGTCCTTTGCTGCAAGCAGTCTTTCTAGTGGCCATAGAATAACTGAATTGAAAGATGGCATTTTCACCATTGAATATCCCATTGTATGGTTTTTAAAAGGTACATACACAGCTGGAGGAAAAATCAAAAGACTATTTCTCTTCACCACAATGAATGCTAAGTTATATCATTTGAAATAATTATGAATGTCAGTGTGTAGCTGTCATTTTATTTCTAGCTAAGCTAAGGAAGACCGATGACATTGTAAAAGGCATTGCAAAGACCTACCCTGGTCTGTGTACAGGTTTGATCATTTATATCCAGGATAAATACCCACAGGAAAGTTGCTAAGATGATACAAAGAAGAGTAAGCCTGGCTTATAATGCATAGGCTACAAAATAAAAGCTGAGGGGAACTCGTTGTGAAACAGAACCATTCTTGGTTCAGAGGGTAAAACACTGGAAATAAAAAAAGAACTATTTAAGCTGAATATTGTCAAAAAGACAAACTGACAATGTGTAAACTGGAGCTGAAAATTAGAAGATTCCTAACCTAAGTGAGATTCTGTAACTGGCTTTCTATCGGAGCAATGAAAGTTTTCTTCCTTCTCTAACTGTATATAAAGCCTGACAAATTAAAGAAGGGGCTTGCATGATATGCTCCTAGCAATACCAGGAACTGGACTCAGTCAGAACTTACTTCCAGACATGCTGCTATTTAAGATACCCAAAGCCACTGAAATCTCCACTGAACTTGGAGCACAGACCAGGACCATTGCATTCCAATTCTATATAAAACAGCACTTTCCCCCATATGTGTTCCCACCAAAGGCAATATGACAGCTCACAGTGCCTTAAAAATAAATAAGTAAGTGTGGCACTATACACCATAGGAAACATCTGCTGAAATTATCTGCTAGGACTTCATATCGAAAGTTTCCATCTCCAAAAAATACTTTGACCTTTAGTTTCTAAATGCTTCTGCAAAGCCGTAGATTAAAATTATGTCACATTAGACCTAAGTGCTGCAGCAAAATTCCACTAAAGACAAGGAAGGGCAGTGTTTTAAGGTAAAGTTTTCTTACATGTATACCAAAAGGTACAGATGAAAAAACTAGAGGAGGTCTCTGTTACACTAACCTTTCCTGAGCCTAAGACTTGAAGCACTTCAAATAATTTTACTATTTTTCCCCATTTTACATGTTCCCATCTCCTTTGAATTGATACCAACTTCTGACCCAAATGTAACTTCAAACCAGACTATTATTTGGAACAATAACTTTGGCTCAAAAAGCATAATACTATCCTGCTCAATTTAACTAACAGCAACAAAACCCAATTAACAATTGAACCTGTGCCAAAATAAAAAGCTGTGTTTATTTTGTAGAAAAACCTGTGAAGGGCTTCACACAATTGCAAAGAGTCTTGCTTGAAACTAAAATAAGAAAAAAAAAAATCAGGAGCTACATTTACTCCTCAGATTATCAGAGATAGCATCAGAGATAGCATAGCATCTAAACCTGACCAAAAATAAAATAAAAATTAAAAATTAAAAAGACCACCAGTGGAAAAATAACCCATATTGTTCTCTAGCAACATAGCAACTGTTTGTTCTCCTGGCCATTGCAACACACAACTACTCTACTCTTCATATGATATGATATATTCATTCTGTCAGTGATACTCCTCCCATCTCAAGAGGATTCTTCTGCATGTCTTTCTGAGTTCTTTTCAAAAACAACTATTTGCTCCTATTCAGCACATCCTGACTGCTGATCCCAAAAACTTCTGCTAGGAAGTATGCTCTAGTGTATGTTCTTTTTTATGACCAACTTCTACACTAATCTACTTTCTTTCCCCACATGACTGGATTAAAGTTTTATGGGGCCCAGGGTAAAACCAAACAATAAGAATAATCTTACTGTCATCGTCACCAAGTTTCACAGTGATTCTGTCCTTGTGTTTTCCTCATTTCATCCTTTTCCTCCTCCCTGTTTTAGACCATTGATTTCTTTACTTGCTGTCCCTCAGTCTGAAGTCTTCCCTGCTGCTCACATGAAAGAGTGTAAGTTACTGACTGTTGAAAACTTCAGCTGAAACACAGCCAGGTCAAGATGAGGTTACATAAAAGTCTAAAGGCAACTTTTTTAGGTCACATTCTCAGCAGCACAGATTGTGAAAGTTTCAGTAAGCAGACTGCACTTAGCACTCTAGCCAATGGTATTTATTACATTAATATTGTGCCCATAGACAGTTTCTAAAGTGCATTTCTACCATGTCCATCCTATAAGCACATACTGTACTTGTATCATTCCCAGACTACCTATGCAGCCAGGCGTTTATTTGTGCTCATGAACAGACAGGAAGAAACTTCAAAGTAGCTGTTTTTCCAAAAATAATTTTACGACAAAATTACATTGTCTTGGGTGGGGTGGTTTTTTGTTTGTTTGTTTGTTGCCATATGGAGATGAGCAAGTCTTTGAAACAATAGACAAAATGCCTAGTCACTCTAAATACTTTATACTGTGCGTGTTTGTTTTCCTTTCCTAAAACTATTTCATGTGCTAACTCTCATCACTGTGAGGAATCTCCAGTACACAAAAGGTGTTTACTTTGTTTTTTTTTTCCTTAGTAAAATGACCTTTATAGTATTTTGTTTAAGCATTCTTACGACTGGAAATTTATCTGAACATTTTAGACTTGTAAACCCTTGGGAACTTGGGAATGCATTCAGTTTGGTTGCAAATCCTGAGAAAACATGTGTATTTGCTCATAGCTGCAAAAATTAACTAGAGCCTATAACTGTAGCCATGAATGGACCAGATGAGAACGACAAGATCACTGTAACACTAGCTGCAAAACCGATCTTTCAGAGCAAGTTACTTTTTTTCTTGTGCATTTCTTTATATAATTCACATATTCCCTTATAACATAAGATGCAAATATAGATAAAGATACAAATTTTTACCTAATGTTGGGTATGTTCCGGAGAATATTACAGCATGTTAGGGCTTTAGTGTTTCAATACAGACCCCACTGTACGTCATCCACTGTTCTGTTAGGTTTCTCAGATCATTTGGTCTCAACAATGACTACATTTTCCATCATATATCATGCATCCAGCCATGCTCTTTGCTAGAGGTTCAACAACGAGTTCCATCTCCAGCCAAAAAATAAGCTCTGAGGAGCAAATGCTTTGCTTACTGAAATCATGGAGGAAAAAAAAAAAAAATCCCTGAGATTTTCTTAGCATCACTTCCTATACAAACACTCAGAAAAGAGGAGACAATAACAAAGAGCACAAGTCAGAGCAACTCTGCCATTCAGGATCAGAGTCCAGGCTGCTCCTAACTACTTGCTGTTCCTGCCCTCACTGGTAACTCTCTACACACCTAAAAGTACACCCTCACAAGCAGCACAGTTAGTAACCTGCCAGTAAGCTAAGCTATACAGTTTCAAAGGGCCCCAGCCAGACACTGGGCAGAGAATATAGAAACAGAAGCCTGCTAAAGGCCCAGTGAAATTCTGGACCTATGATTACAGTTAATTCTGCTTTAAAAATATGATAAACTTTAAAAAGCAACAGGCCCATTGTTAATGTCAAATCCTTAACCTAAAGCATTTCCCTTTGCAAAGATTTTTGCATGAGCTATAAAGCATTTCCAAGCACAAAAAGTTCATGCATGAGGTTTTGTTTGTTTGTTTTGTTTTTAAAACAAAACCTTCTCCTAACTAGCCCTACTCTCAGAGAGGCCTCTTCAATTCTCTCACCTTCCAGGAACCTCACTGAGCCTTCAGACCTTAGCCCTGTCTCATTTAGCCACCTGCATAAGTTTTAAACTTTGCTAATGCAGTTCAACAGAGGCCTCCTCATCCCTTCCAGCGCCAACAGCAGTTTTCTCCTACTGGATTTTTGTAAAGATCTTATACAACCAGTTACACTCTTTTTCTGCCAGCTTTTGACTCAAATGAGTGAAAGAAGCTTGGTGGGATCTGTGAAATAGATCTATTATTTGTATTAATTGTACAGAGGTACAATTTTATCGACCTCCTTGAATTCATAACAGCATCTTTTACTTGATTTGCTGTCTGTACTTCATAACAGTCCCCAGGTTTGTGCTGTGGCCCTCACTGAAGAGACAGGCAGTCCGAGGTATGGGTAGCTGATCTGACTCGCCCCACAGAAGGCCAGGCATGTGAATGGCGAGGCTCAGTATAGACTCTCCATCCCTTGCACTGCCACCAAACGATCCCATGGATGTTCCCTTCTCTTCTTCTGGACTACTCAAGTTCAATATTTTGCTTCCTACGTGACTCTATGGTTATTCTTCATGTAGCAACCTCTGTGGTCTTTTTGATGATAGAGAAGTTTATGTTTTAATAATTGCCTATGCAGAATTACACAAGCTGGGAAGGCAAAGAATTAAGTACAAAACTGACATTCCAAAACAGGGTAAGCTTCCCACTGTAGAAATAACAATGGTAATTAAAGAGGAGTTTTGCAATTATAAAGATGGTTTCACTATGAAAAGGAAATAAATGAAAATACTCTTGGTGTCGCTAACATCCTTGCATGATGAAAAATCTGCAAGCTAATTTTCTTAAAACATCATTTACAGGGAGAAAGTAATAAGTCAACAGGCTCTAAAAGCAGACGAATTACCATAAATGAGTTAGCATTCCCCCCATAAATGTATCAATGCATGCATTATAAATACTGTCAGAATTTCCTTTTTGTGGTTGCAAGTGGCATGCCAATTAAAAACCCCATAACCTTTATATACATACTTTCTGCATTTCAGTTGTAGGCATTTGGTTATATGGTCCCCTCTAACCTATTAATACACTCAATATCTTGTTTATATATGAAGAAGTTCAGGACACAGAGTGTCTTTTTTGCATGAAGAAAACTTCTGATGTTTCTTTCCCGTCAGAATAAGATGTGGCTAGCAATCCATTCCCCTTAATAAGGATGTCATTAAGGAAGAGAAAGACTGTTTTGATTGACAATACAGTATGTATGCAAAACATGCAGATAGTGATGTAGTCAATGGCAGCTAGCTCTTCAGGGTCAGGACTCAAAATTGTGGTCAGGACTGACACAGCAACATCTCACTAATATCACATTCTAACTGTTCTAACTTATTAAAGTGAATCCTCTTTCACAACCTCATGGCCATATGTGTTTGGGTGCAAAGAGACATGTGGAAATCCCCATCTCCAGTTTAAGTTCAGACATTTAGTTAGTTGCTTCCAAAATCCAGAGACCCAACTGCTCAGAGAATTAGAGAATTTCTCCACAAACATGCCTTTCCTTAATATATCATAGGCAATGGGGTTGGATTTCTGTGGTTTTTTTTTCCCCCCAACCTACATGGGCTACCTGACCTCAAATAACATCTTCCAACAGAGAAAAAAGGAAAGCATGAAGGCAAATGCCTACTTTTTCATGTCAATCACACATTCCATTGCCTTTTTAGTTTCTGTCTTCCAAAAGCTTTGATTAAACATGACTTCCTACTTGTTCCTAGACTGGTTATTTTGCATGGAGTATTGCTGGCTCAGAATAAACACCTTGTCAAATACAAAGCAACACAGATTAATTTATTCAGCTGTACAGGGGTTGTTTCTAGTATATGAAGAACTGAAAAGCTACAAGCTGATTCATTAACCCCATAAACTAAATGTCTTCCTGATTTTAATCTTTTTAATTTTTTTTTTTTTGTCTATTTTTAACTAAAAGCAGAAAATCTCTTTTTATCTCTCCCTGGGGTTATATACTTTTAAAAATGCAATATATATGTGAATTGGAGGCTGTACTTTAGTCCTGGTTTCTGACTATTGTTCACATCTGAAATATGTTCTAGCAGTCCTGTTTTGTTGCAGCTGTATGGTAAATAGTATTATCTCTATAGCATGGAAAAAAAAAGGAAAAAAAAAAAAAAAAAGTTGTTCAGAGCCACAAAGCTAGCATTCGGTTTGTTAGCATTCTTAGCTCATGGGGTATGTTCATAGGCCACAAGAGGCAAATACGTATATTGGAATTCAAACAGTGCATACAGCTGTTTCTCAATAAGTAAAGTCAGTGATGAGAGAGAAAAGCAGAAAGTTAGAATTAAAAATGTCCAAAACAGATAGGCACATTGGGTCAAGAGTGTTGTGTTTTTAAATCTTTCCTGCCTAAGAACGTGAGCAAGAATGCCAGATGTGCACACATGCATGCAAAAATGGGTAATCTATAGGAGTATCTCTGCATCAATAAGTCAGCTCTAAAGTATGTTTAGCATCTTTCTGCACAGGGAAGATGAAGGCAGGGAAAAGCCCCTAAGAGAAAATTGTAGTTGGTATCCCCAAATCATGACATTTATTGCTTGTAAAAAATGCTGGGCTGCAAGTGTGAGTCACTACAATGTTTCACCTAGACAAAACTGGGGGACAAGACTGAAAAGAAAAAAAAAAAAAAGAAAAAAAGATGCAACATCTGCCTAAATGGACAATGCAGATAGTCTTGTGCTAACTCCACTGATACACTGAGCCAGGTAGACATGCTCCAGCTGTGGTATAGAGACAGTGCCCATTAGCACTGTGCCTGAGTTCATAAGCGTAGCTGCAAGGCTGTATATTTTACTTTCCCAAGACAGGATAGTATGCACTTGCAGATACAGACACTCAAATTACATTCCAGTTTCTGCCTCGGCTTGATATTTTCAGATAGGTTCCTTTGGTCAACATTATCTGAACAGCCTTCAAGTTTGGACACCTGCACCACTGCAGAAAATCAGGCTTACTCTTAGGAAGCAAATTACTTAGATTTGGCTGATTTGGCAAAGGCTGTTTGGTGGGAACACAAAACTTGCACTGGCTGGTTTTGAAACAGTTACTGCCAAAACTACATACCTCTAATTTTCATCCCTGCAACTGAATAGTATAACTCTTTACAAGTATTTAAAGAACATTCTTGGATACTTTTGTTGTAAATGTGGTAATACTGATATAATAATTTCCAAAAAGATTATAAACTTTCCTGGCTTGCTCTGCACAGGTGTATCAGATTCTCAGCCTTCATGTACTTTGGTAAAGTTGGCTAAAACCATGCTCAGATACAAAGAGCTCTACCCTACAAACAGTCTTGTATGCAAAATAACTAAGGTGAAATTCATCACAATGAAGGCCAAATTCTGTACTCGGGAACAAGAAATCAAATACAAAGCGACAATAACTGGCAAGACAACAAAAACATTGACAGGACTTGAGGTCTATGTTAAACCGTAGATAAAACACAGATTAATCATATGACACTGTTGCAAAACTAAAATTAAAAGAAAGAAAAAACAGACCACCATGCCAGCGTACGCCACCAGGACTATTTTATATTAAAGAGAGTAATTATTTCTCTAAGGCTTCAGCTGGAACACTCCATATAGTTCTGGTTACTGTGCTTTTCAAAATGCTAAAGAAAAGCTGGATAAAGTCCAAAGAGAAGAAGAAGAAAAGGTTCAGAAAATATGACCTATGAAGAAATTGGATTTGTTTAGTCTAGCAAACTGAAGGGAGACATGATAGCAGGCTTTCATGTATGAAAGATTGCTTGTAAGGGGACAGTAACCAATCTCTATGTCCACTGAAGGAAGGACAAGAAGAAAGCAATTCAGTTTGCAATAAAACTGTGTTATGGAAGGGCCCCTACATATAGAGAAGTGTAAGCAACTGCATGGGGAGGCTAGAGCATCTTACTGATCAAAAGGGTTACAAAAACAGGTTGGGCAATTATGCCCTTGGGATAGTCTGCTAGACTTGAGCATGGTTAACTGCCATCTTGCGTATCTCCCCATCCACCCTTGCCTAGCTCTCTAAGCTCTGAGGTGCCAGTCAACAACCCCAGCTCCTTCTCATATCGACAGCCTCGACTATCCACTCTACATCCTCCCTTCCCTGCTTACCTCACTTACATATTGTCTAGGTGTAAGGAAGCAAACACTGGGGCTGGTTAAATAAAAGCAAGGATGGAGCAGCTGATTGGCCATATAGCAGCTGAGTGGTTCATAAAATAACCCGACCAACACCTTTACCTGTGTAATTTGGGTTGCCTTTATTTACTCAGCTGCCAATTTTGATGTGACTTGTAAGGACTTCCATTATTTAAGATTTCTGCTCCTCTGTCAATTTTTTGTTTTACTGTTTGAAAACAGATTTAAAGTTAGTAGGTAAGGAGGGTGATGGAGTGTGGTCTGCTACACAGACATAGCTGGACATGCAGTGTGATCACATATGCCTCATTTCCTTAGGAAATCAGGCAAAAAATTCTACTCCTACTAACTCCACTTCATTCAAAACAAGGATAAAATAATTTGGATGTCTTCATTTGCAGGTCCTAGCAATTACTGCTACTGCTGTGTTCATTAGATTGAGGTGCTTGTTAACAAGGGCAGGCTATAAAACAATACGCTAGGCTGTGAATTTAAGTTCCCAATGTCCCACCATCATTTCCTAGGGGACTTTCTTGATATTGAGTGAAAGTACTCCTAGGAAGAGCTGTTGTAGAGTGCTTTAGCTTCTTTTTTTTTTTTTGACTAAGTTTTTAGGCTTCAAAAGGGCCATACAAATTTTTCCTCGGTAGAGATTAAATGGTTTCTCTAATGTTACTGGGATTTGCCAGATGGTCCTATTTCAGATATTCTAAGTAGCTGTGTTTAAGTGAATGTAGACGTGGCTGGAAAGTGGGAAAGTTGAGTTTTGTTTTTTCAGGGGAGAGAGGAAGGTATGTGTTACACATCACACTTGTTTATCTCCTGAATGACTCTGTCCAGAACAGTTTGATCTACTCCACATGCTGTACAATTAGGCAACACTGCAATATCAAACACAGTGCAAATGCAACTTTCTGAAATTTCCTCCCATTCCCAATAGCAATTATGTGAAACCATTTGGCAGACAACTTTTAATTGCTATATGCATTATGTTATATGTGATTTGAATTTAGGAGACATGAGTCACAGCAGGCTGCACTTCTAAACAGAGCAGCATAAGAACCTGACCCTGAAGAATTTTATTTATGCCTTATTCATGTGAGCAAGGGCTAATGATGTATGAGTAAGGCTTTGCGGGACTCAACACTGCTGTTATGACCTCTGGGATAAAGAAAAAGGCCAGACGTGATCAGAAACTGGAAGAAACATGCCCGTAATTTCTAAGCACTTTCCATCTCATATATGCACATTACGCAGCTTGCAGTTCCATTAAGTAGCAGCATGCATGGCTGTTTTGGCTGGGGCGTGTCAAGGATTCCTAGTCATAAACTTCACAGATCATTTTATATGCTCAAAATAATCTCTTGGCAAGACTTCTTACTTCCCTGCCCCCAAGGCATTGTTTGTAATAAAAGCCTGCAAATAACTATAGCAAGCAATTTTGTTTTCCAGTCTCCCTCCTCAACATGAAAAAGAACCTCTTCCACTCTGCACTCTTCCTACAGTGTCTGCCCTTACTCCGTACGTGCACGCTGTGTAGCAGCTGCTCTGTCAGACTCCTGCAGATCTTTGTGCAGACTAAGGGAACGGCTAAAAGTCATTACTTTTTATTTTGTGACTCAACAGTGAAGATCAGCATTCCCCTTAGGTTGTTAATCTAGACCAAGTCCATAACACAGGTAAACTGTGACAAAGGCTGCTCTATCAGTTCTCATGCAAGTGGAAAAAGCAGACAGCTGCACTTGTGATAACGTGCAGGAGACTTAGGAAATTACAATCCTGGCTTTTTATTTCTCTATTTCAGTCCCTTCCAGCCACTGCATTTTAAGCAACAGCCCTTTAAGAAATTCCCGGGCACACCACCTCCTAGCACAAAATTACCCTTCTTTCTCAGGAGCACATTGCTGTTTATTCATCACTCCTGTTATTTATTTTAAATGCATATCTTTCAAGTTGTGTAATGACAGCACAGTCCTTTTTTAATATACGTTATTCCCTTTCCCTGCCACATGACCACCAGCAGGACCCAGCTATGCATTGCACAGATCCTTCACTGCCCCTTTCTCTGACGCTGGCAAGAAATTATGCAATATTAAGTCATGGCATTATTAAGAGTGCTGCATTGGGCCCATGACTAATTGATTGCTTTTACCTAATTAAAAGAAGAAAAGAACAGAGAAAGACACAGCATTTTGTTCCAATGTGGTTACGTATTGTGGTAAAATATATATGTTCTATCTTGTGTATAACCAAGTCCTCCCCGATTGTGTAATACGAGGTTAACGCTGGAGATGCTCTGATTGAGACGTGAACAATAACTTAAGTCTTTTCTTTCCTGTGTCTGAGATTATCTGGAAATGAATATAAGCTCTGCAGATGCTTGTTTACAACACACAAAAACTTACTGGGTCACAGACCGGTAACATGTGAACGTGCAGCTTTCATTCACTTTATGGGATCAAAGGTCCCAGGACATAAATGTACAAACATATGTACGAATGCTTACCTCCACTGAGCAAAACATTTGAAAACACATGTCCACAAGTATGCCCTGAATTCTAATGAAAACCCTGGAAATTCAACCATGCGCTTGAATTTCAATACATGCTCTAATGATTCACTGACTAGAAATACCTTGCTGAGGCAGAGACTACGTGCCTATATCTAAGGTTACCTTTGATCCACTGCTGACAAAGGAAGTACATGAAGAAGCCTTTTGATAGGAAATACTGCTTTTTGTCCTCTTTATTCCTTCATAGACAAAGGAAACCCACTTGAACTGTGAAGCACAGTAAATGTTTTGGGTTTCAGGAATAGGGTAAGGGAGTGGGTTTTGCTTCATACTTCAAATTCTATTTCTTAAAAAGAAATAGATGAAAATGAAATAGATGAAAAAGAAATGCTCTTTTCTTCTAAGGAAAAAGGCCGAAACATGACTGACAGGCTTCACTTTTTCTCTGGAATTACAGTAGTACAAAACCGTATGCTACTCCTGTATGAAAATCCCGTCTCTACAGTTAATTTGTTTAAAGCACATTCTTCTCATCAAACTGGACTACATTTGCTAACTCCCAAATCTGACTAACAGTAGACAAATGTGCTAGGCATCCATTATAATTCAGAAGAAACTCAGCTGCAAATCTCTCTTCTTATTAAGGGGTTAAGACTCAGTTCAATAAACTAGCTATCCATTAATCAGACATCTCAGTTTCCCACACATGCTTTGATATGGGAACAGCCCTGCATTCGATGCAAGAACTTCAAAGCTAAAAATATCCAGCTTGATTTTTATATGCAGGAAGCTTATAGCTGTAATTTGCATAGGGAATACGCCCGCAAAGAAAGAACACTGATAAGCAGGGTACCCTTGTCAAGCACATATGCACAGACACAAGATAGATTTGCCGAACAATGATGAGCTGAATTCCACTGAAGGGTTATGCCCTGCATTCACATATGCACTCCTCAACAGGTATCTGTTTCCCTGGGACCTAACTGTTACCATCCTTACTGATAGTACAAGGAACAGCAATGGAGAATACGCCACAGAAAGCCATAAATGGCGAGATCTTCCTCATCCGACTTCAGCCACTGAAACTAAACTACTTACCTGTTTCTGTAGGAAACACAGAGCACCTCTAGGAGGAGATAAACATCACCCGAAAATGAGATCTTCTGAAGACTGTTTAACAGAGGTAGGACCTAACCAGCAAACAGAAGTCTACCATTCAGATGGGATGTACAATGAGTTCCACTGAAAGCAAACCAAAATAATTTTGTGCAGCATGAAAACTTTTTAGACCTTTGCTAACTTGTAAAATGATGACAATAAAACTGGCAATAATAAACAACCCAACTCTATGTCTTCAATGCTATTCCACGGAGTTCACATTTTATGTATTTACGTTTATGTTCATATTCCTTATATCTTTATTAAAAGGCATATTGGATATTTTTAAAGCTTTCCTTCTACGTGACTAAAATATACCAGATAAACTTGTGTAATTTAGTTTAATACCATGCAATTCAAAAGCATCTTTGTCATGTACTTAGTCTGCCCTATTATCCCTAAATTGCAGTTTCAGGATAGGTTATTAAGATTTAATTTTCTATTTATGGAACTATAGATGCAAAAAAAAATATTTTTTTTCTGTGTGCTAGGCGTTAACAGTATATAGAGATTCTAGACAGAAGGTCCTACCTAGCGAAAGGTTCATTTATTATAGCTACCACAGTTCTTTGTGGCTTACCTTAGAATGAAACTATACTTGAAACCACACCGACTGATTATTTTTAACAAATTTGCATACTAAAATCAGAGCAGATCTGCTATTTGCATTCTTGTACCTTACTATTATGCATGTGGATGTGAAACACTGTGTGGTATAATGTGGCAGCATGCTCAATTTGCTCATCAGCTGTTCTGCTGGGAAAGAGGCTAATGACCGCATGAAGAGAGCAAAGCAATCTCAGCTAGTATAAAATGTGAGCTGTTGCAGAGCTCAGACAAGCTGAAGATCCAGTTCTAAATTTCCTCAGTTTTTGCTTCCAACATCTGCACTTTAGAAACCATATCCATACAAATACTTGGATCCCGACCCTCTTGCTGAAAATTAATCTGTTTGTTCAAGTTGATAAAGAGCTTATGAAATAACTGACATTTTCCACTGAAAGGCTTTTATGGAGTAAGCAAAATCATTCCGTGTACAATAACTGCAATAGTTCAAATTAATTCTGCATATATCACCAGTGAAATGAATGGCACTGCAATAGAAATTAATCTTTCAAATCCTTAGGGTATCATCAACATATTAGCTAAGGCTGAGTCCACAGCTACAATGGAGTGAGACCACATTTACACTTACAGAAGTGAAACCATTATCAATGTTGTCCTAACTACTTACTGTATATCCACTGTTTATTTCCAACTCCATTTTTTTGCAGTCTCAAATGAAGCAATATTAACTAGCTTGGCAGTTGTAACCATATTCTGCAATTAATATTCAACAGAAGTGAAAAAGGACCCTGAACTCCAGAGAAAGGGAAAGGATGTGATTCCAGGATTCACCACAAGAGTGATCAATGGATTCACCACACAAAACATCCAGGGCATGCCATCCTGGGATCTGGCTACTGCTTTTAACAGCTCATGTTCTTGAACATATCCAAATGACAGCAGGTAAATTCCACTAGAAGCGTTTCAGCAAGCCACTCATCCCCTGCCCACTAGGAATTCCAACATCAGCAGTAAGAGTGTGAATTGGTGTGAGCTCACAGAGGTCAACGGAGCTAGGCTTGCACACTGTGACAAGACCTTGAACCTAGAGGTGGAGACTCGGTAAAATTATGGGTCAGATTATTACCTCTGTCATTGTGGTGAATTTCTGGTGTAATCAGGCAGTTCAAGGTTGAATTGATTTTCTAAAGACATTCTTTAAAATGTAAAGATGGGTCCAAAATACAAAATTTTCATCTCGATTTGAGTATTTTTCCAAGCTGTGAGGAAGTTTGAGTTGTTCCACATGGGCTCCAACAGGTTTTTAGGTAGCCCTGAACAGCTTGTTTCAGAATGACCACTGACTGAGGTTACATGGATCTCACACCACCCTCCAAGCAGGAATATTCTGATGAGACTACAGGTTCATCCATACACTTTTGGGTGAAATAAGAAAGAAATTTTGGATGTTAGTTTTCATTTTGAGGGGGATGGTTCCTGGTTGCCTGCCCCAATTTCCTCACTTCATGTAAAAACACTTTTGAGGTTGTCTTACAGCCTTTCAGATCTACCCTCAGCTTGACTTGGAGCCACATGAAGAAAAGCTTGACTGTAACACTGCTAAAGATGTGCACTCACATGGGCAGCAACATGACTTCTGTGAGACAACCCCCCGCAGAAAGTCACTGGTGTGTGTACAGGGCTTGGCGGACTGAATGCTGAGGATTACAACTGCCTGCCAGTGTAGCCTGTCCAGGTAGGCTCACTCAGCGCCTCTTTCTTGCTGGTTGTTTCCCATCAGGGCTCTCATCACTACCAGCACCCAACTCTCCCTTGCTCCCAGCTCTTTATCTTGTGGCGCTCGAGGCTTTCCTTCTACACAACAAAAAGCCCTGCTTCTGAGGACACGCTCTGTCCTTTGAGTTCGAGGGGCAGCCCCTGGTTTCGGCCGTGCCCTACCACACGCAGTCCTGCAGCTCTGTCCCTCCGAGCCAGTTTCCGAGGGCACCTCCCGGGACATCCCGCACGGCGCCGCCGCCTGGCGCAGCAGCCGGGCTCAGGCACCGCTCGGGGCTGCCAGGGGCACCCCGGTTGCCCCCAGCACACACCGGCCCCGCTCCCCACACGTGACGAGGCCGGCACCGCGGAGGAGCTGCCCGTTTGGGGACCTCGCTTCCTGGCAGGCGGCCTGGGGTCGCTGTTGGTCACAGCGCGGCCAGACAGCCGGGATAGCGCCCGGCGCTCCCTGCACCTGCCCCCGGGGCCACCCGGCACCCGGCTGAGGCGCTGCCCGCCACTTCAGGCTCTGCCCCCCGCCGCCAGCGCCCCACACGAGGCCGCGAGCAGCCGCCATCCCGCGCCCTGCCCGGGGGGCGCCCCGGGGACACGTCTGTCACCGCGGGGGCAGCGCGGGGCAGCGCAGCGCAGCGCAGCGGGACGTGCCGCCCCCGGAGCCCCGCCGAGCCCGGCCGGGCCGAGCCGCCGCTCGCGGGGCGCCCCCAAGCGGCGCGGCCGGGAGCCCGCCCTGAGGCGCGGGGCGGCCGCGCGCTGCCCCCGCCGGTCCCAGCCCCGGCCCCGCCGCCCCGCCCCGTGCCCGCGCCCGCGCCGCGCGTGCCCCCGCCGCCGTTGCTCCGTCCCTGGCTGCTGAGCGCCCGGCGCACGCCTCCCGCTTCCTGCCCCGGCGGCGCTGATTGGCCCGCCGCGCTCCCAGGAATGCGGGCGGCCCTTTAAAGGCGCGCGCGGCGCACGGCGCCCGCACTGCTCCCGGCAGCGGCACTCGCACGGCTCCCGGCACGCGCCTCGCCCCGGAGCGCTCGGTGCGAGCCCAGCCGCAGGGAAAGGAAGGAACAGAGAGGAGAGGAGAGCGCAGCAAAGCAAAGCAGAGCAGAGCAGAGCGCAGCGCTGCACCCCCGCAGGTAAGCGCTGAGGCGGCTCCCGCCGTGCCCGCGGCACCTGCCCCGCGGCCGTCGGGCAGCGCCCGGTGACCGCCTCCCTTTGCCGTCCCCCGCAGGCAGAGCTTCGCCATGGGGCCGGCGGCGCTCCTCGTCCTCGTCCTCCTCCTCCTGCGCGGCGGCTCGGAGGCCCGGCGCACGGCAGGTAAGGTGCTTGCGGGGAGGGATCCCCGGGGGGGGCACCAGCTGGGGCTGCCCCGCTCCCAGCCGCTGTCCCCGCGCTGTCCCCGTGCCGCCCGGCGCTGTCCGTGCGCTACCGGGGCGCTGCTCCCAGCGGGTCCCGCTCCGCCAGCGGGGCGTTGAGCAGCCCCGGCGGGGGCACGGTCGCGCAGTGTCTTCCCCGTGCCTTACGGTGCTTGCTCTCGTCTCTCCGCAGAGTCCAGGGCCGATGATAACAGCGTCTTCGATCTCTTTGAGCTCATTGGCTTTATTCGCAAGGGAGCTGGGCGCCGGGCGCCCGGGGTGCACCTGGTGAAGGGACCCGAGTCCTCCAGCCCTGCTTACCGCATCGAAGATGCCAGCCGCATCCCTGCTGTCCCTGACGCCAAGTTCCAAGACTTGTTAGATGCCATCCATGCCGAGAAGGGCTTCATCCTTCTGGCCACTCTCCGGCAAGCCAAGAAAAGCAGAGGCACGCTGTTGGCTGTGGAACAGAAGGATGGCTCTGGTCATGTCTTCAGCCTAGTTTCAAACGGCAAGGCAGGCACCCTGGACCTGAGCCTCTCCGGTGATGGCAAGCAGCAGTTGGTGTCTGTAGAGGATGCCTTGCTGGCTACGGGACACTGGAAGAACATCACCCTGTTTGTGCAGGAAGACCGGGCTCAGCTTTATGTAGGGTGTGAGAAAATGGAAAATGCTGAACTGGACATTCCCATCCAAAACATCTTCACAAGGGACCTGGCCAGCAGTGCCAGACTCCGTATCGCCAAAGGGGGAGTCAATGACAACTTCCAGGTAAGGCGTCGACTTGTGTTTTTGCCTAGTTATCTTCTTTCACCTGCCTTGAAGGTACATTAGCTAATCAACCAGCTTAACAGCTAGGGAGATACAGGTAATAGGGAAGAACAGTTCTGCTTCTGTATGTCTGATCTGTACCGCCTCTAGATCTACTAAGCTTTAGCAATGGAATTTGAAGGGTGAAGCATTAGATTTATGGAGCTAGAACTCTCTGTAGCAGTAAGTAGAACCTGAAGCTTCTGAACAGGTAGTTGTAACTTGAGCACACAAGTTACAAAAGATTCAGGGATTCATGCTTTATTTCTTCCTGCTTGAAAAGTTGCCAGGTCTTTGTGGTCAGGGCTGAGAATGTTAGGAAGCAGGGCTTGTTATCGTTCAGGAGAATAAGGTCATTTGTTTCACCTTGCCATCTGTCTTGTGAAACTACTCTTACTGAACTTAAGTGACCTTAAACGTCTACAATCTCTCGCTGTGCAACTTGCACTCCTTTCCTTTGCAGTTGCTGCAAGTAGCTGTAATTCTTCCTCTGTCCACAGGGACTGCTGCAGAATGTGCGGTTTGTCTTTGGAACAACTCTGGAAACTATCCTGAGGAACAAAGGCTGCTCCAGCTGTAAGTCTGCAGTCTCCTAAATCCAGTGACCTATTAAATATAAAATTCCTCAGTGCATTAGAAAGACAAGTTGAAACAGAACTCAGAAGTATGCTGACATGCAAATCCACATTGCATAAGAAATAAGATTATTTTTTTTTGGAGACACCCTAATGAATCTGGTGGCAGCTGTTTAACAGGTGCTACACTGGAATGATAAATGCACATTATTAAAAAATGTGATGTACATAAAGTTTATTTCCTTTGTCTCTTAGCCACTAGTGCGATCATTACTTTGGACAA